CCACTTCTATAACTGTCTTACTCTCTCCAGAAAATCCAGAAGAAATCTCTGAACCTAGCTTCCAAAATACAAATTCCATTAATAATAATGCAAAATAAACTAACTCATCGGAAACCCTTATTCACATAGTGTGCTCAAAAAATGAATCGTCTCTCTCTGCTTACTTACTGAGCCACCAAATTAATTTTGTGAAAGTCTTCAATTAATTAATTCTCCATTCATCTGGTAGATTACTCCAAGAAATCCATCTGCTCCCACACAAACACCTAATTCTCTGCAATTAGCTCTCACCTATCAAAGCTTCTATCCCCAACAGCTCTCAAGATTCCCTTGAATGAGTCCCTTGTAATTTTGCTACATTTCCTCTTTCTCTCCTGTCCTCAATACTAAGCTTTCTAGCTTTGCTATTCTCTCTCCAACTCAGGACCAACTGAAGTTAATGGAAATTTACTTGAAGTCTTGCTTTCTCCATGAGATGGGTCAAAATGGGACTATAAGTTCCTCACTTCTCCAGATCCCACTAAGAATAAAAAAGGAAGAAGACAGCCAATGCAGCTTAAGGCAGAGCACTTCAGAAATCCACTGAGCCTTCTGAGAAGAGGACTAGACCAGAGATGGTCTACCATATGCTCCTCCTCCCCTGAAAACAGTTCTCTTTTCACCTCCTTCACCTTCCTGTGAAGGAGGGCAGGGGGGAAGTGTTAATATGCAGAAGTCTTCTCCGTGGGCAAATAAATTACCCCATAGCAAGAACACGAAGAGAAAAGCAGACATCTTTTGGCCCAGTGTGTCAGAATAACCGACGCCAGATGATGATTTAATGAGATAGCTTGAGTTTTGCCTGCTTACAGCAAGAATGTCAAAATGGAACAAGATTATTAATATAGACACCACTGTCAAACTGGCACAAAACAGCTGTTTATGCCAAGTTACCAGGGGAGAGAAGTATTAGATCTCCCTTCCCAGTCCCCCCTGCCCCAAAAAGGCTACAGGAATGCTGATAGACAAAAGGAATTTGGTTTGAGTTGAAATTATTCCAGCCTCTGCAATTAACTTTCATGCTTTTTCAGAGTGGCATAGCAGTTATAAGGGCCAAATGCTGTTAAAATCAGTAGTTTTATACCTCACATGAAAGACACTGCCTGCAGCAGCAGAATATGGTCACCAGGACGCTATGACAAGTACTTCTATAGTGTTTATGCACTGCTATCTTCCTTATCTCCAGAACAGCTTACTGCAAGACGTAAGGTATTCTAGACTGAGGTTACTCATCTTGGCTTTGTGTGGTATGATGGGATCTCAGGATATCAAAATGAGCTCTTTCAGCATTTCTGCAAAAGAAGGAATTATATTATCTGCATGTGTTTGTTTCACAATACCTCGAAGGAAAAAAAAGAATGCTCATTCTTTAAATAACTAACAGCTTACAGAAATAAGATTGAAATTCCACTTGAAGTGTATGCTGCTAATTAATATTTTATGTTACACTGCTCTGCACTATTATGTGGCTCCCCTAAAGATATCAGCATCTTTAAAAATACTAGTAAAGTTAGAATTATTCCATAGTGCAGAAATGAAAGAGAGGCAATACAGCTATTTTAAAGTGGTAGCATTGTATCATACTTGGCATGTTTTTGAAAATCCTGATTCACATGAAAATCAGTAACATCAATTCAATGAATTCATGCTCTTATGCTCAGGTTTTTTTCTTATATCAATACTACATAATGTAATAGCTACCTTTTTATTTAAAATACTTACATTAAGTAAAACCTCCACAATAATTATTTCAACTACAAGAATGGCTCTTTTGAGAATAAAAATCTAAAAAGCCTTATGTCTGATTGCTGTATTTTATAATTTCTAATATAATTATTTTTATCCTCTTTTGAAGTAAGTAAGAAACTAAATCTCCGATTCAAGCTCTTGCTTAACTTTCAGGGGAATTATATATCATTCAAAGGAAATGAAAAAGGCAGAAATGTATCTACTTTCAAATATCAAGGCAAATATTTAGAATTTGCACTCCTCAGTCAGCCCCCTGTCCACCTCTTGCATTACAGAGTTATTGTAGTGTATTTTGACTTGGTAAGCAGTCTGATTTTAAGGGCACTTAGGACTTCCAGTATGTGAAAATTTGAGGAACAAGAGAATCAAAGAATGAATATTCATAATGTTCACTCATCAGTCCACTACAGCTTTAGCTAGAGAGAAACATATACCTGAAAGACATTAATTTCTACTCTATTGAACAGCCCATTCAAGGTGTGGATGAAGTAAAAGACGAAAAAGCAAGTCTCAGATTTCAAAGAATTAAAAAGCATCAGTTTGCACTAGTTAATAATTGTTCATAACTATGTATATCAGAACTAAAAGGTCTGACTTAAGGATTATTTCACAAGGAAATATGAAGGGAAAAAATGGCAAAAAAAATAATTAATTCATGCTGACTATTCAGATTTTCAGTGATTTCAGGCAAATTTGACAAACAGACAATTCAGCTTTCATGGTTTCTCAAAACTACAGAATTCTTTTTCTATGCAGAAAAGTTTTGTATGTGTTCGCATTAATGCAGCATTAAACAGTTACAAGTGGTGTTAACAATTTAGACACAGCTGTCAAAAAACCTGGACACAAATTATAACACGTACAGTGTAAGCAACTTGGGCAAGCCAAAGCTGAAGTCTTGCTTTTAAAAGTTTCCATTTAATAGAAACAGGTAATAGCAGAACTAACCATCCATTAATCTGATTTCTTTCAAGTACTCTATGATCAAGGGTTTAAAAACCACCAGGTTTAAAAGCTGATCTACCTGAATTTTTCTATTTTCCAGACAGTATGTAAAGGCTGAACAAACTTATCTACTAAACCAGGAGAAGCCCTTAAAGATCACAGATTTAAAATGAGCTTCTCTAGAATGACAAGACCAGGACTCTGCCAATGAGTTGAGCAATACCTATTTTGTACTTGCAAGGATCTGAAGATGAAGCACATGAACCTCATCCTGAATGCACAACATTTCTTGCTTGTGTATGAAATGGTGCATATTATTCTCAGTAAAAGCAACAAGTCGCAAAACCAAGATATGGCATATTCTCAGTCTTTCAGTCAGGCAAAACAACAAACACTGGACTGCACAGTGGTATCAGATCTCTAATGGTGACATAAACTTGCACTTTTGAACAGTATAATCTTCAAACATAAGGTTTACAGCCATTTACACTGGACAGAACTTGCCCTGATTGTCAATCTGTTTAGCTGCTCTCCTGTATGAAAACATTTTGATGTATCTGCAATCAACTTCAGGACATTCTTCATCTCATTAATTCTAAACATGCTGCTCCTGTTCAGGACAAAGAACGATGCCTTAAGTTCAAAGGCTCATGCAGGTAAGCAATAGTCTGTAAAAGCCCTCCTTCAGTACCCTCTTTGATGCCTCGAATCCAAAGTTAGCTGCCCTGATAGAAATAAGTGTATATGGGTATTTGACTCACAAATACACTTTGGTACTTGTTAAACACTAGTAGGTTAATTGTTTTCTCAATTTAACAATCCTAAATGATGACTGATGTTCCTTAGAAAACTGAATGGAAGAACAGACTAAATTGAGGGAAAAAATAAATAAGTGTCAACACTTACTGGCTTTTTGACATCAAGCTCACACTATCTGAAAGTAGCCAGAGAAGTGAAATTAATATTATTTTAAGTTATACTTTAATTTTTGCAACTGAACAAAACGCTTAAACACATCCTTCAGAACAAAATAACTATTACTTGGTGTTATCTTTTACTTTACCCTTAGGCATCAAGAACTGCAACTTTTCCTATCTGTCTGCACAGTCTCTCCACTTGGCACTTCTGATTTATTGTAAGCTTCCCTTCATCTGTTTTAACAAAGCAAATTATCACTTTCTTAGACATATCAGAGACTGCTACAATGATTATTTTCTTTGCCTGTCATTTTTGCTATGTTACTCTGCTCTGTGTCCATCTATCCCCTTCTCTATGGTATCACACATAGAACATTTGCCCGCAGGCCTAGCCAAACCAGAAGGTACTTAAGATTCTGGTGTGCCA